TTACTGGACTTTGAATCAAGTCGTACCTAATTTGCGTTGTAACTGCCGCTACGCGCCCTGTCATGTAACTAAAATATCAGTATACGTTTATATATATGTGTTTAATTTTTTTAATAAAGTAAGTCAATATTTGCAAGTTTATTAAATAAATATATTAAATTAACACTATTGTAAGTTTCTATAAATTTTTAAATTTATATTAGTTTATATTTTTCAAAAATATAAGGGAAACAAAGAGCAATCCAAAGTAGCGGCAAAAACCTAGAATTTGTTTTATTTGTGGCATACTCAAAAACAATAGGAAAAAATCAATTTGTCAGAAATGAGTAGAAATATTTGCAAGAAGAATCGGAATATGGTGATTATATGTGCCATGTGTGAAAGTGAACATCTCATGAATATATAGTGACTATTTTTATTATCTAAATATTTTATAAACAATTTGTTCATTAAAATGCCGTAAAAAGTTTTCTGGTATATCTGAATCATATTTTCAAAACGATAATTAATTATTGACTTAAATCAAGTAATATTACATATGCGGTGCAATTGCAGCGATGCGCCCTCTCGTGAGATCCTGAAAGGCACGTTCCCCGAAGGGTTAACACATAGATAATATTGTTTTGTTAGTAAATCCTAATAAATATTCTAGTTTTTGTAATTGCTCCATATATTTATGCACGTTCTTCAATTTTTACTTTCCCAGCTCTTTATATATAATGGAGGGGAAGTATGACAATTGGTCAAAAAATTACCCTCCAATATTATTACATTTTTGAACTTGGGGCCTTGAAATATTGAGAAATGCAAAAACTTTCAGGTGTTTTTTCTGTGGGGGAAGATAATTTTATCTATCCTCATTCAAGCTTAATAACTCCTGTGCTTTTTTTGAAAATTTCTGAAATTTTGCAGGGCAGTTTTTATATTAGAGGATTGGTGATATTAAATTTCAGTGATTTAAAAGTCAAGGGGTTGTGTGTCATATCTTGAGTAGAGTTGGACTTACTGACTTTTACTGGTTATTAGTATTTAAAATTTTTTTTTATAAAACCCATCCCTACTCAAAATTAAGCTTTGTCATTTTATAATAGTTGAAATAAAATTTTATAATTTTATAAAATGAAGAAAAGAAATAAAAAGTTGCCATTTTATAAAAAGAAATAAAATATGATAACAGATGACACCACCAAATGTTTCAGGGAAAGTTAAGCAGTTCGTTGCTGGATATTTTGATAATCAGATTTTATATCACATATTAAAAGTGAAGTAAAATTTTAACTTAATTTCTACTTAAGTTTTATTAGAAAATTTAATCTAAAATTGTTTTTAATGGTTTTCCTGGAATTCTGAGAATTGCTAAAGAAAAAAATTATCACTGCTTAATTTTCTGTAGCATATAAGCATGATAACTTGGATATATTAGTGTTATTTTTGCATTTTAATTTTTATTTATTAGTATGTGTTTGAAATAATTAGGAAGATGATAAAACTTGTTAATATTAAGAGGTAATTTTATAAAAGAATCAAATTAAATTTATTATGCAAAAAATATAGCATAAAATTTTTAATTTATTATGATTAAATCTTCTCTGGATTCTTTGGTCATTCAATGGTTTATATAACTACACAATTTTTATATATATTAAAAATATTATATAAGTAAACATTAATTAATAGAATAATTTTTTCCCCAGCATCTATGGTAAAACCGGTCAGTAATACTTCATGGGATTTAGCTCAAAGTTTAGATTGGCTGAAAGAAAATGCAAGAATGGTTGGAAGTGGAAATCTACAGGATATTGATATGTCACAGTTTCAAGGTAATGTGAAATTAAATAAAATACTTGATACAACTATAAAAAATACTATTTTATTTATTATATAATTTATAGTTTAAAGTGTTTTCCACGTAATTATGACCTAAACTGTTTTGTTTTCTATATTTTCATATCAATTTATTTTTGAAATAAACAACTACATTTTCCACAGATTCAAAGAGATACAAATAATGATTAATTAAAATTGAAAATTGTTTGTTATTTTACATTAACAGTAGTAGTAAATGACTTTATGAATAATATATAAAAGCTAAAATTGTAAGCATATAATTTGATACTATATACCTATATAATATAATTTAGTATTAAAAAAGTTAGATTAATAATAAAATTAATTTACATTATATAAATCTGTGATCTTGCTTTTACAAGTGCAAGAGTTTTTTTTTGTTAGTGGCAGTGTTATTTGTAACACAAAGGTTTTGTAATATGTGGTTTTTAATATATAATGCAGATTAGTTATAAACAATGTAAGCAATTACAAAAATTTGTTTCTAAAAAAATACAGTTAATAGTCAAAACTTAAACTATTTTACAAAGACTAATTCATAGTTTTATCATTTCTTTCAAAAGTTTATTGTATGTTATGTATTGCCTTATATACATCAAGTATGGTTGTTTTTCTCCCCTCTCCAAATATCTTGCTATAAGCACTAATTGTGAATTATTATCTATACCAGTCTTTCAAATAATTTAACACTGTTACCTATGGCTGCCAGTAAATCCAATTTTTTATATATTCCACAAAAAAATCAGTTAAATATTGAAATCATATATTGACTATAACTTGAATTTCTTGATTTTTCTGCTATTATACTGAAAAATTATGGAAAAATTATGCTTTAATCAGGTTATGTTGTGGTTCCCAAAAAGACTTTCATTTATGCATTAGAGAGGTTTCTGGCTTACAGTATTATTTTATTTTAGTATTAATAGTATTTTATGTAATAAATTTGATCCATTCTGAAATTTATTTGCCATTTAGGCATGTTTTTGCTTTTTGAGGGTTTCTGTTTTGTCCAGCCTTTATTTTAATAAAATCTTACTCTTCAAAAATTTTATAATTTAAGATTTTTGTTAAGTAATTGATAGCAGAATATTTGATACTTAAAATTATATTTCAACAATGATTATAATAGTAATTATCAATGATACTATAGTTATAATATTTTTAGTTTACAGCCAGTGAGTGATTAAAGTATTGCTTTGGCAACCTGGAAATTAATTCATCAAGTCAAAAAATACCAGGAATTTTTTGGAGATGGTCCATCCTGGATATATTTACCTCATCCCTCACCATCTGATTGCCCCCATTGTAGGCTAGCCAAACCCAAAATGGATCTGATAGAAAGACACTCTTAGTGCTTACAGGGCAAAGAAGATAAAAAATACTTTGTCACTTATGCAAAAAATTCTAAATAAATATCTGTCTTCCATAATATTTTCAAAATAACGACAATGATTATTATGAATACCCATTTATATTTATTTGTAAATATAAAATAAATTAGGGATCTTCAATTTTTATATAATTACATTTTCTAGCTATGATGGAGAATATGAAGTCTATAGATCCCACAAATTGGATGCTCTCGCAAGATCAGTTAGCTGATTTAACTTCATCTCTCAATACATTATTTACTCAATCCAATACTTCATGTGCAGTTTCTGAATCTGTTGGAAATTTTTATTCTACATCAGGTACATTATTTCTAGAAACTTAATCTAATAGAAGATTGAATTAATTTATTATTTTAAGATTTGTGAAGTGTAAAAATACTAACTATGCATTCTTATTTTTTAATGTAGCTAACTGTAGTTTTATGTCCATGCAACAAATACATGGTAAAGATGCTAGCAGTCCAATGGGAACGGTGTCTTCAGAGAGTAGTAATTTGTCTTGTACATCACATTCCGATGTAAGTACAATTAATTAATATGTTTAATACATTGGAATTTTTAAACTTGTAGTTTGTTAGAATTGTTTTGTATAATACACTTGAATTTAATTTAGACAAATTTTTTATACATTATATAATTTACACTTTCTTTTTGTGAACTTTGTTTATTTTAAATTAAATGTGATTTTATTCAGTACATTCTAAGTTTTATTTTATTATAATAAAATTCTTTAAAATACAACATTAACAATTATAATATATTTGATAAAGACAGGTGAAGTAGAATACGTGTTATTCTTTCAGTCACAAAACTATGCTGTAAATAAAGAACTTTTTTGCAGCAGTAAAAACTTGAAAAAATCAATCTAAAATGAATCCAGTTATAAAATGCAAGTCAGTGAGGAAGTCAGTCAGTTACATTCTAGACCCCCCTCAAATTTGCCATAAGTAATATGTTGTTATTACAGTTAAAGCTGTGAAATGAATTTTATGAATGTAAATCAGTTAAATGTAATACAGTATAAAATAACCAAATAATTTAATTAAATAAAAAAAAATTACATTTGTATGTTTATTTTGATATGCTTAAGCCCAGACCAAATCTTTTCATAAACATAAATGTAGATAGATCCTTGCATTAATCTTTTATGACAATAGAGTAATGCAGTATTAAATGTCAAAATTTCCTCTTTTCTTTAATCATGACTGAAAATAAACTGTGAAAATGAAAAGGAATTTATTCTGAAATTCTCAATCTCATAAAGTTTATCCTTGAGGGTCCTTCATGATTAAAAAGATGTACCATAATTTTTTTTATGATTTTAGTGGCCTCTTCGTCTTTTTTTTATATATAAACATTCACTAACCTGATTTTTAATTAAAGCCAAATAATCAATTGGATTATCAAGCTGTTTTATGGCTAATTTTAATAATTAAATAAACACTAACTATTGATAGTTCTTTAAGCAAAGATCAGATGGAAGTCCAGATAGCATAACTGGCAACATGTCTGCACAGTAAGCAGGAGTTGCAAGTTTGAGCCTTGCTTCAGGCCAATTCTTTTCTTCCAAAACTTTCTAAATTAAAATTAAAAATTTATTTACGTTTATTAAAATTAACTTTAAAATAGTCCGATAATCCAGTAGATCCATTTGGCTTTATCTTTTTTTATCTCCTCTTCCACCTATTGGTTTACATCATATCCAATAATTATAATTTTGCATTTTTGAAATGTTTTATAATTTTTTTAATATTTTTTGATTTTTGGTTTTGAAATCAAAAAGTCTTTGGTCTTTCATTATTTACAATGATGTTTTGAATCATTACAAAACAAACATTTGAAAAACAAGAATTACCTATATAAGAAACCAATGTCCACTGAAAAAATATAATACTATATTGTTTAAATATGTGACTTAAAAATCAATATTTATAAGTTTTTTTTCTTCATAATGTGATATATATATATTATTATTATTATTATGTTGGGTTTAGTGGGTTTTACTCGGTTCACACTGGTGGCTGTGTACTATGCCGGACCAGAGTCAAGGCATAGCAACCAAAACAAAACTAAAATTAAATAAGTGTGTCAGTGTCTGTATTCAGGAATTTCCTAACAATGTGGCATGTATTCAATATAGTGGCCTTCTGTAGTGTTATGTATGTATTTCTACTCAATTCTAATGTTCCCAGGCTTTTGTGTAGTGTGTGTGGTATCACACCTGTACAGGAAAGAACAACAGGTACAATAACTACCCTATCCATCCTCCATAGATGCCTTATTTCCTGGGCAAGTTCTGTGTACTTGCTAATTTTTTCAGTGCATGTGTTTTGTACATTGTGAGTGTTTGGAATGGCTATGTCTATAATGTATGTGATTTTATTGTGTTTGTCAATGAGTGTGATGTCTGGTCTGTTGTGGTAAATTGTTTTATCTGTGATTATGGCTCTGTCGTAATACATTTTGTGCGTGTTATTTTCCAATACTGTCTGTGGAATATACTTGTAGTATGGTTCGTGGATGTCTGCCAATTTGTGTTTCTTTGCAAGCTCTTGGTGTATTATATTTGCTACTTGATTGTGTCTATGTAAGTAATCTGTCTGTGCCAAGAGCTTGCAACCAGAAGTGATGTGTTGTATAGTTTCTGGCATGATGTGACATTTTCTGCATGTGTCATTTGTGAGTGTTGTATCTTTGAGTATGTGTTTTCTGTAGTTTTTAGTATTTATGACCTGATCCTGTATGGCAATCATGAATCCTTCCGTCTCCCCAAAGAGGCATCCCCGATCTAACCAGCTGTTTGACGCAGTTTTGTCAACAAAATCCTGGGCCAGGTCGTAAGGATGCCTGCCATGGAGAGCCTTTTGAGCCCATGATTGCTTAATGTTGTCTATGCTTTTTATATGTTGTGTCATGTCTGTATGTTGTGAGTGTAAGTTTAATGGTGTGTTATTTGAGTCTGCTAGAGTTACTGCTTTATGTAATTGTGATGTTTCTTGTTTCCTGTAGAAAAACTCTCACAGTGACTGTATTTGTTTGTAGTGTAGGTTAACTATGTCAATCAGGCCACATCCGCCATCTTTACGTGGAAGGGTTAATCTTTCTGTAGCGGATTTAGGATGATGATGTTTATGCTTAGTAAGTGTTGTTATTGTTTTCCTTTGGAGTTGCTCGAGATCTGTGCGAGTCCAATGTATAACTCCAAAAGAGTATGTGAGTACTGGGATGACATATGTGTTTATTGCTTTAACTGTGTGTTTTGCATTTAGCTGTGTTCTGAGGATAGCGTTTAACCTACTTTGGTATTCTTTGATTAATCTTTGCTTTATTTGTGTATGTTCTGTTAGTTTGGCCTGTTGGAATCCTAAATACTTGTAGAACTCGCCCTCTTCCATTTGAATTCAATAATGTCCCCATTTCCAAGTGCAAAATCTTCTTTCTTCAGGATTCCTTTTTCTATGTGAAGTGTTTTGCATTTGTCTAAGTCAAACTCCATTTGTATGTCCTTGGTGTATGAATGTGTGATTTGTAGGAGCTGCTGAAGTTGTTTTTGTGTGGATGCATAAAGTTTTATATCGTCCATGTACATGAGATGTGACAGCGTAAACTGTGTTTTCTCATGTCTGATATTGTAGCCATATTGCGTGTTGTTTAACATGTTGGATAATGGATTCAGGGCTAGGCAGAATCAGAGAGGACTTAAAGAATCTCCTTGAAAAATTCCTCGCCTAATGAATATTTCGTTTGTTTGTATGGATTATTATTATTGTTGTTGTTGTTGTTGTTGTTGTTGTTATGTTTTGTGAGTTATACTCGGTTCACACCGGTGGCTGTGTACTATGCCGGACCAGAGTCAAGGCATAGCAACCAAAACAAAACTAAAATTAAATAAGTGTGTCAGTGTGTGTGTCTGTATTCAGGAATTTCTTATTATTATTATAATACATAAGCATTAAATAATAAGAGACTTGGATAACGAGAGATTTTTCTGCTATTTTTTAAAAATGAATTTCTAATAAACATAATTTTTGTGGTAGTACTTAAATTATATTTTTCATTTTAATTATTCCATAATCCTTTATTTCAAAATTTTCAATTCAGAACTATGTATAAAAAAATAACTAATGTTTTCATATACTGCAGTTAAGCCCTTTGACCGCCGTTCAGCGTCCGTTACCAACTACTTCCCAGGAAGATGAGGACGATGACATAGAAGATGATTTCAATTGGGACAAGTTACTTTAAATGCATGGACAATAATTAAAATTGTGAATAGTTGTTGGTAAATATTTCTTATGCATACGATATTCTCGTATATTGCCATGAGAAACTTCAAATATGATTCAGTTAGTAATGTTTATAATTAAACATTTGTTGCATACGTGCAGACAAATAATTGTATACGTACATAAAAATTTTTTAAAATATTTTTATGTTATACATTTTTATATTTAAAAGACCATTTGTTAAATATGATTATGTCATTGTTTGTACACAATATATAACTGTAGATTAGTTATCATCACAGTTTTTTTTTAATCGACCTAATTCTCGTTTTTAACGTCTGTTCACTATATACGTAATTTATCGTCGATTATTCACGTTTCGGACACCACACCGTGACGGAGCACATTGTAGTCTGTCGTGTTGACGGTTGTATCATAATTACGAATATCTATTCACTTTGCAAGATTTTGAAATCAAATGTGATGCAGTTTTATATACAGAATTATTCTGTAAATCTATTTACAATTTGCTTTTTTGCTGTTATATCATATTTCTAAATAGCCATTATAATATTTCTAAACCAAGTGTCGTGATATTTGGATAACGTATTTCATCTTAGACGTGATTGTACTTAAAACCATTATTCTAAGATCTCTACTAAGCGTGCAGAAGTGCCTAACAGTTGTCACGTGAATTACAGAATGGCAGTCGTTAGAATTTGATTTGGGATCTGTGATATTTCAAGACGAAAGCACTTTGCCTCACAAATGTCGGAAAGCATGGCAGTGATAACTAGTCAATGCTCACGGAGATTTTTGCCTTTTAAAAGGTACAATTGATTGTATATTAGCATTTTCAGGAGTATATTTTGTGCAACATTTTGTGTATAATTGTGCGTTAATATCAGTTGTCCATTTCTTATGAAATTTTATTTTTATCCAAATATACATTTCATTTATTATTTCTCATGTGTTCAACCAATCTAGTCTAAACGTGTGATTAATGGGAAATTACGACAGAATTTTTTTATGTTGTTTTTAACCATTTTCGTAATGTTTTACTTAGAACCATCCTGGATCTGGAGGCAACTGAAAAGGGACTGTTTGAAAACATTGTTCATATTTGCTCATATAATTTATGTGCATAGGAAAAAAATTATCTAATTATATTAAAATAGCTTACCAGATTTAAAATTTCATGATATAAATCGTTTTACATTGTTGTTTTTTTGAGTATATGTCAAACAAATTTTTAATTCATGAAGGTGATTGTGATTTCACTATCTTCATGTGGTTCTTTAATATATATATATATATTAAAAAAAAAGAAATTTAAGAAGTGCAAATTTTTTTTGCACATATTGATGTATCATGTTATTGTTGAGAATTGCATCTATTTCACTTTTTTCATACGGATATTACAGCTTAGCTTAATTAATCTATGTATAGATAGAGTGGGGTTTTTTAAGCCAGTGTTTTTCCTGCCTGTATATACATATAAATAAAAAAAAAATATATNTGTGGCGCTGCAATCTTTGGCTATGTCTTGGGCTACTCAAATATTTTACGTTTTTGATACTAAAGTATCTTCTGAAGTATAATTTTTTATTGTTTTTATGTTTTTCAATATATTTATTTTGTTCCCTATGTCACTGTACAAAGTTTGAGATGTTTTAAACATTATAAATGGAACTTTAAAAACATGAAAAGAATTTCATGAATGAGTGTAAATGTCAAATATTGTACAATTTAAAATTTGGCTAATTAAAACCATTTGATAAATGTTTTTAAGAGTTGTTTTTCAGAAATAAAGTGATCATGTTTATAACATTTTACCATTTTAAATGTTTCTATTGTCTGAATATTTTCTTTTTTAAGTATTAATTTGCTTTAAAAGTAGATAGAGATTATAGAAACTTAATCAAAATCGGGCCATATTCTTTGCTTTTGATCAAGAATCTTGCAGAAGGTACGGTTGGTCCAGGTTTCTCTGGATACAAGCAGACCACATATTGAAAAATTCTTTGTGATTATTGAATTGACTTAAGTCAATTCAATAATTACAAAGTACATTATCAGATTAAATTATCTGATAATGTACAGATTAAATTTTCATTGTTTTTCTTGGAAAAAAATCATTTCAATAATAGATGACAGCTGAAACTGGTTAAATTGTACTAAATCAACCTACACAAAAGCCAAGATATCAGCAAAATTGATGAAGGATCCTGGATAGGACCAGAATCCTCCACCAAATGTCTGGCAGAGTGCAACTCTGCTACCTTAAACTGCTGGAAATGTACAAGGCAGTGTTAAATAAGATAATCAACAACTTTAAGAATGACATCATGTTCCCCAATTCAAGGAAATTTTTTCTCTACCCCCTGTAAACCATGGGTATGTATGGAGAATATCTACTCCAATCATCAACCACCCAGATCAGAAACATATTCACCAATCAGTAGATGACAATGTTTGATAATTGAAATCGTGTTATGACTCTTCTTTGATTCTTAAACACTATGTAGTGTAATAAATTCAAACACTTGGCATTCTATCCTCTTTTAGTTTGGTTGATATGTGTTTAAAATATACGTTTCAGGCATAACATGTCCCTCTTCAGCCAACTAAAATTATATCAAAAAATAAATACAGTACGTAAAAGGTTAAAAAATATACTAGTAGTAAATATATTTTAGAACATACCTCGGGATTATTTATAAACTGAGTATCATGGATGAATACATATTTATACAGCTTACACATTTATTGTCTAACTTCGTTTTTCCTTTTTGGGTGACAAAATTAAAAAATGGATGTACTATCAGTACAAGATTTTTTGCCTACATTCATGGTTAAGATGCAATATGATATTAAGTTTCAAATCAAATTCTGTTTTTTACTGTTATATAAAAAATTCATATTTACTAAATAAAACACAAATAGATATATCCTCATTAGCTTTACTTTATCTACCACTTTTACTATGCAGTTCCATACTAATTAGCATATTTTTACATCATAAAGAAGTTAGTTCATGATTCATTATAAAAATTTATAAAAGTTATAAAAAAAAAAATTCTTTCAATTTCTACATTTTTCAAATTCCTTTCACAGTACCCTAAGCCAATTTTCACTTATTTTTATGCTTAAATTTTTATTTATACAGTTTTTACTTTTAATGATTTCTACACTTTCTTTAAATTTTCTGTTGTTTGTATCAGTTTCTCTCTGTAAAATTTTTATATTATTTTGGTCTATATTGCAGTCATTTAATGTGCAGTGATCGTGGAAGGCAGAGTTTAGTCTGTGATATTTCAGATCTGCTACATATCAACTGAACTAAATAAAGATGATAGAACACCATGTGTTTGAATTTATTACACTACATAGTGTTTAAGAATCAGATGAAAATGTGTTGGATTCAAATAACGTGGCTCCATTTCTATTTCTACATCCTGATGATGATGTCCAATGGTATGTGGACAAAAATGTTTGTGTAGTGAAATTTTTACTGGTATCTTGGCTTGTGTGTAGGTTGATTTAGTTCTTACTATTATCAAAAATTGTGGCATGCAGCTCATGCAAATAAATTATATCATTATGTATGTGCATAATTTAAATAAATTAATATGCACAGTCCAAAAATTATATAATAAAACTGATTTTATTTTGACCAAGATAAAAACACTATCTATGAAGCAATGTATATCATCCATATCACCAACCTTCATCTATAATGTGATAACGCTGTAATGCTACATGTTAAACATGCCAGAAATATGATGCCTTGTTGTGTAGGCAGTGAGAATGTTGTCACATTAGCAGCATGGAGCAGAGTGTGAATATTAAATTCTGGTTTTTTTGAGAAAGTGCAACTGAAACTGTGGAATTGATGAGACAAGTATATGGGAATACAGTAGAGCGTCGTTTATCCGAAGGAATTCCAGTCGACAAATTTAAATTTTTGCCAGTGCTGTGGCACTGTAATCTTTGGCTATGTCTTCGGCTACTCAAATATTTTACGTTTTTGATACTAAATTAACTTCTGAAGTATAATTTTTTATTGTTTTTATGTTTTTCAATATATTTATTTTGTTCGTACAAAATGAAAAAATAATTTTTAACAATACAATAGTCTTCGTTAGGCTTAACATCGACGAAAATTCAATGCAAAGCGACATGCAATGGAGAAAAATGTCAAGATGAGATAAATTAATATATTTTTCCATACATAATTGGTTATCCGAACAACCCCAGTCCCCAATTGATTCGGATAAACGACGCTCTACTGTAATTGTTTTTCATGCAAATTTCTTGAACTTGAGTGTTGTGTAGAATGAAACTTGATGTTTTGTTATGGTCCCACAACTAAATGAAAAATCACCAGCATCACCAAAAGGCAAAAAATTTCATCTTCAAAAGTCAAAAGAGAAGACAATGCTAGTGTGTTTCTATGACAGCAAGGGAGTTTTTCATGGTGAGCAAGGAATAATTCATAGTGAAAAGTTTCAAGGACTAATTCATGGTGAATTAGTCCTTGAAATTTTTTATTTAAGTGTTCTGGAATTGTATATGAAAGAAGATTCACTGTATCTGAATGGGTTACTTAGCACAAGACAGTTGATTCCTTCATGATGATGTACCAGTTTGCCAGGTAGCAGCTGTATAGGAACTTTTGGTCTGAAAACAATGTGCCTGTTCAATCACCTGTCTCCCTCAATTACTTTCTCCCACCCAAACTAAAGTTACCATTGAAAGGGTACCTCTTTGAAGAATGAAGACATCCAAAGGACTGTGACATTTGGGTCAAAGGAAGTCTTTGGGCCATACCATAAGAAGACATGCAGAGGTCATTCTAGTCTTGCTGGATCATGTTACTTATTGTATTGATGCAAGAGGGTGTACTTTGAATAAAATACAGATTGTACTCAAGTCTTCTGTTTCAGTTTTATTCTGTAACCTTAGTCCCATTTTATAATTGTCAGACATGACACTGATGACATCAGAAAGGAATCCATGACTCTAAATATTGATGCCTACTGTCAACAGATTCAGATTAACTGATTAAATGCCCATGATGATAACCCAAATAGTAACAAAATACTTTGCAGGAGTTGCGGGTTTGAGTCCCACTTTGGGCTGATTTTTTTTTCTTCCAGACCTTCTAATTTAATTATTATATTTTACCAAGAGATGGCACCTAATGATACTTCTGGGCCAAATTACTCAATTATTAATAGTAGCATTAATATAACCCAATATAATCCAGCAATTGTTTGGCATTAGCATAAAATTATGGCTTTTTAAATTGTAAATTTCAAGAATTGACTTCAATCACTACACAAAAGTTCTGATATTTTTAAAAAATACTCTGACAATATTAGATAACTTATTTATACTATTTAAATGAAGTTTTATCTACATTGGAATCAGATCTGTTCAGCTATCTTGTTTTCAGTAAGCTACTGAATAAATTCAGCTGCCCAAAATCAGCCAATTATCCAGCAGTTGATTTTCTACAGATCAGAAAAAAGTACACATCAAGGCAGACAATGAACTACAAGCAGTCGATATAGCTTTATGACTATCAAAATTGATTATTATTAGGTGCACACATTAATATATGTGGTGATTAAGTATTCTAATGCCATAAACTTCTTTGTATGCAGCAATTTTACTTAATGTATGGACTGCAAGAAGACACTTTTTCAACTATTTGTTTTCGTTATTTTTTTATTTCCAGTTACTATTTCTTCCCTATTTTCAGTATTAAATTACTTTGTTACTATTTGTCTCAACAATTAAGCGCTTACTCAGATTAAAATATGCGATATTGTTGAAGCACAAGAAAAAATTAAACTCAAAGCATTCAGAAAAAACATCATGTATAGTGGTGTCATACTTTCAAGCATGACACCACTATAAATGATGTTCCACAGGTGCCATTTTATGATGAGGAGTCTAAAAATATCATATTGAATCTTGTACTTGAACTTTGTGTGGACTGCTATGAATTTGTATAAGTTACCCTTGATGTGACACCATACCATAAAAATAGGCTTATTATATGAACTGCAGATTGTCTCCTGATTCAGTGATACTAAAGGAAGAACATTTGCAGTTTGTTGTGGACTGGTCTGAGTGAATTGGTCAAAATTATCTTTGTATCATTTAATCAGAAAGGTATGTTGCATTTCCATTGTCTTTTCTTTTCAGAAATAAGTGTTATGTGCACTATATAATTTTTGCAGTAAGTTATCAAATCTACCAATTATTAGAATTTCAGTTATGTTAAAGGGAGATTTTGATATACTAAATATTTTCCTATTGCCAGTGTCACTGGACATCAAATAAGGAAGGCCATATTTGTAACATGTAATGATTAACTCTAATAATGACTAAGTCAGATGATACTGAAGTCAGAGAATAATATACCTCCATAAATTTAGAGTAAATACCAAATGCATGTTTAAAATGTTTAAGGAGACAGAAAATCTTTTAATTTTAG